AAACTGGATGCTAAATCTGATTCAAGGAAATCACACTTTCCTTTAATGTAAAATGTGAAGCTAATTATAATAGCAATACACTAACAGAATCCAGTTCATAAGGTGAAGAGTCACAGAAATGTATGTTGCTAATTGAGACATTAAGTGAGTTGTGCTCCATTTGATATCCTTTTTTGACACAGTTGTTAAGTGAATCACTGCAGTTGTTAAATTAGTAACATGGTTGTTATGTGAATCTAGCTTCCTCATTGACTTCGCTGGTCAGAAGGTTGCAAAAAGTGATTACATGACCCAAGGACATTGCAACCATCATAAATATATTCCAAGAGTCTAAATTTTGATCAAATGACCATGGAGATGCTGTAATGGTTGTAAGTATGAAAAATGGTCATAAGTCACTTTTTTCAGTGCCATTATAGCACTTAGTAAGAGCATTTAAATTTATATACTGCCCCCTATTGCTTTACAGCACTCTCTGGGCAATTTACAATGTCAGCATATTATCCCCAACAATCTGGGTCCTCATTTTACTGACCTCAGAAGGATGGAAGGTTGAATCACCCTAGTGCCAGTGAGAATCGAACTGCTGGCATTCGGCAGAATTAGCCTGCCATACTGCATTCAAACCACTGTGCTACTACGGCTCTTATCATCTTGAATGGCCACTAAACAAATGGTTGTAAGTCAAGGATTGCCTGTATGAATTCCAGGAAGATTCAGATTGATGGTTAAACTATGAACTATAGTAAATGTAAAAAAATAATTAAATCCTAACCTGCTTTTTCCTTGTCCTTTTCAGTCAACATTATCTTTTACAACAGCATATATTCAGTTTACCATGCATCTCTTCAACAAAAACCTTCTTACCTCCTTCTATAAAGATGCCTTCACTTTTTACATTTATTTTCATTCCAATTACATTGCAGGACGGATACAATTATGGGGACATCCGATTGCTGTAGATTGGGCAGAGCCAGAAGTTGAGGTTGATGAAGATACAATGTCATCCGTTAAAATCCTCTACGTGAGAAATCTTATGTTAACTACTGCTGAAGAAACAATTGAAAAAGAATTCAACAGCATTAAGCCAGGTAAAAAAAAAAAAACTAGCTTGGCCAATATTCTAGTAAGTTCAAAAGTTTAATAAACTAATCCACCATTTATCTAGAAAAACACTAATTCCAACTGAAATATGTTTAATTTCTACGAATGTCAAAAAACTAAAAGTAAGAAAAAAAATTTTATTATCCACAAACAATATTTGTGTTGAAATAAGTTACACCTTTAGTTGAACAGGCTGACTGTAGCTAATACAGTCAAACATATTTGGATTAAAACAGGGTCAGAATGTAGTTAACATGGATCTAAAACAGCACTAAGGTTTGCTCAAATGAACATCAAGACCAATTTTTAAGTGATGCATTCCAGAATTCTTAAATAAACCTGTTCTTTAAGACTAGCCAACCATAATTTTACTATGCAAAACTGAGGTTCATTAACCAGCCACAGCACCAAGGAAATTATGTGCATGATTTCCCCTTTCAAATCCTCGCTCACTGGGAGATGTCAACCCCAGATAAACTCTTAGTCTAACCAACTTCATAGACATGCTGTATGGATTAAAAAAAAGTGCACTGTTTTGATATTCATGCAAGAACAATAGATAATCAAGCTGTCAATCAATACGCATTATTGTAAATTCCCCAAATCCTTAACAATTATGGTCCAAGTCATGTTGTGGAACATTTGCTTCCCCCAACAAAAGTGCAGTGATAAGTCACAGTATCAAGCTGAATTGTGCTCCTCACTGATTGAAATAGCATAGCCAGAGGCATGCCACTTCAGACAATTTGGAAATCTCCTTATGCTAGAGAATTTGTATGTACAGACACACTTCCCAAAAACCAAGTCCTTTATTTGTGAATCTTTTTTTTTACAGTTACTCACATATCCAGTGAAACCCTGGATAGTGAACTAAATAAAAACAACCAGTCATAAAACCCCTCAAAAGAAACCCAAAGAAATAAGTCAAGCCTCCACCCACCCACCTCAAAAAATCTCAGATCACATAGAATGTACATTCACACAAACCAGAACACCCATAATTAACATTGTGGCATCAAAGCCTGAGGGAAGATCCAGGGTTTCCTGGACTTCCCAAAAGCCAACAGGATTGGGGCCTCCATATTTCTGGAGGGCAGGTGCCAGCTGCTTCCTGGGACTCAGCAGGTAACACTGTTTCACCTGGGGATGCAACATCCAGCAAGATGGATAGAGACCATCAGGGATAACTGGTCCCTCAGGTAACCTGACTCCCAACCATGTGGGCTTCACACCTGAAAACGCACATCTTGAATTGCATCCAGAAGCATGTAAAGTTCGGCTTCCACAATGCCGAAGTTTACAAGAGTGAATGACAGTGTACTCAATAGTGGAGACCGCACAAACTTAGACTTCGTTGGAAATATGTCTTTCTTTTAGCATTTTTTGGATTTAAATAGGAGCCAACAGTGTGCAGCCGCCACCAATGAAATCCTAAAGGAATAGAATCAAGATTACGTGAAGTGTTAGTACCACTTTACAAAGCCTTAGTAAGACCATGCATGGAATACTGAATCTAGTTCTGCTTACTATAATATATAAAAAATGTTGAAACTCTGGAAAAAGTGCAGAGAAGAGCAGGAAAGATGATTAGGAGTCTGGAAGCTAAAACATAGGAAGGATGATTGCAGAAATTGGGTGTGTCTATTCTAGTAAAAAGAAGGACTAAGGGAGATAAGATAGCACTGTTCTAATATTTGAGGGGCTGCCACAAATTTGAGGGGGGCAAACTATTTTCCAAAGCACCAAAAGGCAGGAAACTAATTAAGGAAAAAAGCAACCTAGAACTAAGGAGAAATTTCCTAACTGTGAAAACAATCAAGCAGTGGAATGGCTTGCCTTCAGAAGTTGTGCGCGCCCCATCACTGGATGCTTTTAAGTAGAGACTGGACAGCCATTTGTCTGAAGTGGTATAGGGTCTCCTGCTCGAGCTGGGGGTTGGACTAGATGACCTTGAGATTTTCAAAATGGTGAAAAATGGTGTGGGGTCTCCCGCTTGGGTGGGGGGTTGGACTAGATGACCTATAAGGTCCCTTCCAACTCTGATTATCTGTATCTGTACCTCCAACATCTCTTTCAACTCTGTTATTCCATGTTCAATGTATCTGCATTTAAATTTCAAGCTGGTTCCCCATAATAACCACTGTCTGCATAGCAACTTAATCCTGAGGCCTGCATTCACTCTCAGAGTTTAGAAACACAAAAGCGTTCTGTCCACACGGCCATATAATGTCTGAAACCATATAATTCAAAAACTTCAAGTCAGAAATTTCCTTATATTCACACATTTAAAGAACACCGACAAATCAGCAGTTAAGAGTATTTGAAATTTTTAAGATCCGATGTCAATACTTTTCAAGGACTTCTTAATAAATGGTTGGCACCAGCGTCCTTTTGAATAAAAGTCAACAAACAAGTAAAGTGCCCATTTTGGCTGGCAAGCGTAAATTGCCTGCAAATTGGTTGTTACTCAAAAAGTAAGAACAAAAAGCAACAGAATAAGCCAGCAATTATAAGGTAGTTATGTTGGGTGATTTTTGCTCATCCCTTGGACTATTGTTATATAGAGTTCAGATCTATGCACACCATGCTGTTTAATAATCTACAGGAATGACCAAAACGTTCTCAGATGGAGATTTAAACTTCATTGCCATCAATATATGGATTGCATCAACCTCTAACCTCTCCTGTCCATCACTTGCCAGGAAAGCTCTGACATTTCCAAACTACCTAAGAAATCAATAAAGCTTTTCTACTACTCAAGTTTCTTTCAAATAAAGGGCCCCTAGTGTTATCAGAAAGCTGCCATGTATAACTACAGGAGGCCTTCTTTCCACCTTTATTAGATGTTTTTCTGGAAATAAAAATGACCCAAAAAGTGATGAGAAAATTTCCAAACGGAATACAACAGTTTATGGAGCCCTAATATCAAGTGAATCAGTGGTGGAATTCAAATTTTTTTACTACCGGTTCTCTGGGCGTGGCTTGGTGGGTGTGGCAGGGGAGGATACTGTAAAATCTCCAGTCAGAGGTGGGATTTGCCAGTTCTCCGAACTACTCAAAATTTCCGCTACCGGAAATGTTATATACTATATCTAGATCGGACCGAAGGCGATGTAGTTCTAAGTTTTCTAGGTCTAGAGTTTCAAGTCTGGTGGCATAAGGTATTCTGCAATGAGTAGAGTAGCGCAGAACTCTTCTTGTGAAATATTTACATTCACTTCTCATCCTAAAACCACAAAAATAACGAACAATGCTGAAAAAAGGAGTTTCCTAGTTAGAATTAGTCCATTGAAAAGGCAAAGGTTAGAAGAGGTCCTGGATGCAAAATCTAATAAAACACACCCTTTGTCAGGGCTCCAACAAATCCACCCTCATTCAAATCAAAAGTCCCTAGCTGCATCTCAGAGAAAAGAAAATTGATTTATTAGAAGTTGCCATGTTGGCGTGTGGCTTACAACATACATTTCCCCCTTGATCCTGGTCTTTCCCCCATTCCCTGGATGTGACTTCTCCAATGGGACACATTCATCTCCAGGAGTCATCCATCATGCTCTCCAATAACCTACCCTACACCACCAGGCTTGAGATTTTGGGCTTGAACAACCTTGAACTACGGTGCCTATGGTTAGACTTAAGTGTAGCACACAAAATTATCTGCTACAATGTCCTACCAGTCAATGACTACTTCAGTTTCAACCACAACAATACAAGAGCACACAACAGATACAAACTCAATGTAAACCGCTTCAAACTTGATTGCAGAAAGTATGACTTCAGCAACAGAGTGGTCGATGCCTGGAATGCACTACCTGACTCTGTTGTTACATCTTCTAACCCCCACTCCTTTAACCTCAAACTAACCACTATTGACCTCACTCCATTCGTAAGAGGCATGCTTAAGTACACCATCGTGCCTCCCGTCCCTGTCCTATTGTCCCCATTTATTCGTACCTATTTCCTGTATTCTTACTCATGTTTATACTTATACCTATTATCTTGTAAGCAATTGACAAATCAAATAAAGAAAATAAAATAAATAAAACCTTCTTATGCTCCGACAACTTTCGGCTGCCGGGGTGATTATCTAGGCATTTAAGGAATGCCTTGTTTTCCCCCACTCCCTTTTTCTGGCAGCTAAAAAGACCAAAGGAGTATCTTTTTAGTTGACACCATTGCTGAATCATCCTGAAGGCAGGTCATTCTATAAAACAGGTGTCATCCCTGGGAGGGCCCTGCGTCCATTTCATCGCCTACCAGCAATCTGCAGGTTACATCTGGAACAGCAGCATTTCCCTGCCACCAATAACAGTAAATGCTCAATGAATGATGTAACCAGAGATCTATTTGCTTTTGAACTCTTTTCCTACTTTCTCTCTCTTTTTTAATATTATTATGTGCGTGTAGGACGGTGTAACTTATTTCCCTATTTGCACAAGCCTCATTAAACCAAGCTTTTAAATACGTTAAATAGACCTATTAACAGTCAAATTAACCTAACTGCTGCATGGATGAAAAACTATATTTTTCTGGGGGAATAAGACCAGTACTTCAACTGGCATGCTAAAAGATGGTAGTTTCCAAAATAATCTCATTAAACCATTTAATAAAATATTAATCAGTGGCCAACCATTGTACTTGGTCATTAAAAAGGAGCACAGCTGTTTGCTGCAGCAAATTCAGACTACAAATTCTCTGGCAACATCACAGTCCCAGAGCCGAAACAGAGAAGCAGAAATACAGGGAGGCTTAAAAGAAAAAAGAAAAAAGCTACGCATTGGGCTTAAATGTATAGTAGCTTCTCTCAAAAGGTTTTGGTTTTATCTTTAGTTTTTCCAAAGATGCATGCACAATTGTTCAGTGCAAAATTGTTATTTATATGACTTGCTAACTCTATCACAGAATAACAGAGTTGGAAAAGAGTTGTATAGGCAAGAAATCCTGTACCATTTCAGACAAATGATTGTCCAATCTCTTCTTACAAACTTCCGTTTTGGCGCTTCTACAACTTCTGGAGGCAATTGTTTTAATAGTAGAAAATTCCTCCTTAGTCCTATTTTGGTTCTCTTCTTGATTAGTTTCCATCCATTGCTTCTTATCCTGACTTCAGGTGCTTTAGAGAATAGATTGACTTCTCTCTTCTTTAGGGCAACCCCCTTAGATATTGGAATACTGCTATCATGTCACTTGTAGTCCTTTTTATCATTTAATTACTAGACATACTCAATTCCAGCAACCCTTCAGAGGTGATATTCAGCCGGTTCACACCGCATTGGGCGAACCGGTAGCAAGGATTTGGCGTGGGTCGCTGAACCAGTAGTAACTTCTGGCTGGCCATGCCCCCGACCCAGTTGCCCTCCCACCCGATGCTCGCTCACCCCGCCCACCTGACGTTCGCCTAAGGTAATTCTTTCTTTTTTTTCCCTCCCGACAATCAGCTGTACATAGATCAGCTATACCAGGATTCCCTTGCTGAGGCCCAGGAAGGCAGAAAATGGCTGAGCCCCTCTCTCCATTTTTTGCCTTCCTGAGCTTCAGAGGAGCCTTAGGGGAGCAAAAACACCCCCCCAGAGGTTCTTCTGAGGCCCAGGTGGGGGCTGCAAAAAAGCAAAAAACAAAAAGCCACGCCCACCCAGTCACATAGCCACGCCCACCAAGCCATGCCCACAGAACCGGTAGTAAAAAAGTTTGAATCCCACCACTGCAAACCCTTCATATGTTTTAGCCTCCAATGCCCTAATCCAGCCAATAATTAATTCTGGGCTTGTATCAAGAATATATCATTAGGCATCCATTGAAATAACTTCTCAGCACTCTTCTGCAAAGCTTCAAGTCCCCATATCATGTTCCTTTTCCTTTTATCCTATAATTTGGGTAACTATTAAAATGTTTATCAGTTAGATTGAATGCTTTAAAAAAAAAAACATTAAGTCCTGGCCTTCTTTAAGTCTCAGATCACTATGAGTGACTGAAGCCAAGGAAGGCAGCCAGAGCTTATCTCCATGGGCATCCATAGAATCCAGACTTCAAAATGGACTTGGCTGAACATTTTTGACTGGGGAATTTGTTTTGGGAGATGCTACAGGCCTTTTAAGACTTGCAAAAGGATTAAGGCATTAGAAAAACCATTGAACAGCCACCCGTTCTCCTAAAACGGCATTATTTATGCATTTGGACAGAGATGTTTACAGAGGGAAACAATCCCTATTGGACATTTTTTATTTTTAATACATACAACAATTTTTTTAAAAAATGAAAAAAGGTCAAAGATTTGCACTCAGCTTACTCCAGTTATGTCACAACTCCGTGAGCTGTTTTTCCTTAACAAAAACAGGAAATGGAAATTTCACAAGAAAAAAAAGTTGCCCATCCATGAGATGTACAGAAATTGCTTATATAGCAATAGCACTAAGACTTATATACCACTTCACAGAGTTTTACAGCCCTCTCTAAGTGGTTTACAGAGTCAGCATATTGCCCCCAACAATCTGGGTCCTCATTTTACCCACCTCGGAAGGATGGAAGGCTGAGTCAACCTTGAGCCTGGTGAGATTCAATCTGCCAAATTGTAGGCAGCTGGCTGCAGAAGTAGCTTGCAGTACTACACTCTAACCACTGCGCCACGGAGGCTCCTTATATACTTTACATGCCCAGGTAGTCCTTGACTTATGCCCAAACTTTCCTCTCCTAACCAAAGCAGTTGTTAAGTGAATTTGACCCCATGTTACGACCTTTCTTGCCACAGTTGTTAAGAGAATCGCTGCAGTTGTTAAATTAGCAACACAGTTGTTAAGTGAATCTGGCTTCCCCATTGACTTTGCTTTTCAGGAAGTTGCAAAAGGGGATCACATGACCCTGTGGACACTGCAACTGTTGCGAGCCAGTTGGCAGGCATCCAAATTTTGATCATGTAACAATGGCGATGCTGCATAAGTCATAAAAAGGTCATAAGTCACTTTTTTCAGTGCCGTAACTTTGAACGGTAAATGAATGGTTGTAAGTCAAGGACTACCTGTAACAGGATTCACATGATGGCATGCTGCTTCTTGCTATGCAGAACAGGACACACAGAAGGAAATTCCTTTCTGGAGGCAGCTACTGCTAAATACACTAAAGGGGGAAAATATGTACAATACCTCTACACTAGTAGAGATTCAAACAACGCAATTATGGTTTATATTATCAGGATTTAATGCAGCACAAAAACCATAATTTAAAATTAAAGTGCGAGATCTAAACTTAAAATAGAATAGAATAGAATTGCACAATAGAGTAGAGTAAAGTAGAGTAGAGTAGAGGAGTGGAGTGGAGTGGAATGGAATAGGAATAGGAATAGAATAGGAAAATAGAATAGAATAGAATTACAGAATAGAATAGAATAGAATAGAATAGAATAGAATAGAATAGAATAGAATGGAATAGAATAGAATAGAATAGAATAGAATAGAATAGAATTCTTTATTGGCTAAGTGTGATTGGACACACAAGGAATTTTGTCTTGGTGCAAATTTGTCTTGTGTGTCTTGGTGTACATAAAAGAAAAGGTACATTTGTCAAGAGTCAAGAATCATCAGGTACAACACTTAATAATAAAAGCGGAGCATCGGGATATGCCTTTTATTGTACAAAATATGCACTCTAGGTTTATCCTCCAAATCTCTTCCACAGGTTCAGTGGAACGGGTGAAGAAAATTAGAGACTATGCATTTGTGCACTTTAATAATCGAGAAGATGCAGTGGAAGCCATGAAAATCTTAAATGGGAAGGTAATGATGGATTAGTTCTGCAGTTTCTGGGAGGCAAACAGAGAGTTGCATGCATGTTGCATAATATGATTCATAATGTTGGTTCTAGTACTGGTAATGTTTCTGTTGGAGTAGGGTGGGGGTATATGTACGTGTCAAATAATGTGCACTATAAAAGGCTTGGCAGAGAGTTTGAAGGGAATTGCTTCATTTTGCTCTCCAGCAGTTTTTCTACTATGAAATATGTGGTTCATTGTTGTTTGGATTTTGAGCTGCCTGATAAATCATCAGTCAACCCAAAGCAACTGTATTATTTATAATCCCATAAATAAGCAAAACAAGCAAAATACCAGTCTAAACTCATCCGTTTTAATGGTGTGCAATTTGCTTTCAAAAATACCAAGTGGGCTGTGTGTGTGTGTCTGTGTGTCTGTGTGTATCTGTGTGTGTCTGTGTGTGATGACCCGGGGCATGGCACAAAGGCAACACAGTCAGATAATCAATAAGAGTCCCTTTATTATCTCCAACTTTGCCCCCAATGTCCAGGTTACCTTCTGGCTGGAGAAAAACTCTCCCAGGAACAGCCTTTAACTGCAGAAAATTAAGCCCAAAACATGGTCAACGCAAACTGTAATTTAAAGTCTAATCAAGCCAAACTGAAGTAATTAGTTTGGCAGGGCAGGAGCAAGATAAAATCATGTTTGCTCCCAGCAGCCTGCCACACGCAGCCTGCCTCTCTTATAAACTGTCTTCCCAGCTGTGGCTAATGAAGGGAATCAGGGCCCTTTTCTCCCCCATAAACCATGCAACCCATGTTGCTCTCTTCTCTGTTCCTCCCTGCGTGCCCTAGGATGAAGAGGGGGTGGGCTTGGGTCTTCCTCTGAACTCCCTCTCCCTTGTTCTATCTCTTCCCTGCTCTGCCCAGCCAGACTTTGCCCCTTCCCAGTTTCCTCCACAGCCAACAGATCCACACTCCCACTCCCTGTCAGCTGTTCATCTTCCTCTTTGGATTCAAATTCTGACAGGGACATGACACTGTGTGTCTGTGTGTTTTGATGCACCTCTCCTGCTGGTCTTCAAACATCTCTGAAAGTCTTGTCCCACTTATGTAGACAATTTTCATACAGGGATGCCAAGACGGTATGCCAGTAAATTCAGATTTACAGTACAGGTAACCCTCGATTTATAATAGTTTGCTTAATGACTATTTGAAGTTACAATGGCACAAAAAGTGATTTATGACCATTTTTAATACTTAACTCTTGCAGCATCCCCATGGTCATGTGATCAAAATTCAGACACTTGGCAACTGACTCACATTTATGACAGTTGCAGAGTCTCAGAGTCGTGTGATTCCCCTTTTGCGACCTTCTGACAAGCAACATCAATGGAACAGCCAGATTTGCTTAATAACCAGGTTACTAACTTAACAACTGCAGTGACTCACTTCACAATGGTGACAAGAAAGGTCATAAAATGGGGCAAAACCTACCTACCAAATGTCTCCCTTAGCAATAGAAAATTTGGGCTCAATTGAGGTCATAAGTCATAAGGTTTTCAGAAACTATCATTGCGAATGAGCTACGCCCCAAAAGAGACATTTCTTTAATTCCTGTGATCCATTGGTATAGGTGTTCTGACCCAACCGGGTTCCCAAAGAGCAAACACAGACAAAGGCAGCAGCCCCCACCTTTCAAGGTTTAATAACGAATTCTGTTCTGAAGGCTGCTTTCCACTAATTAGCTCCGACAAGAAAGAGCCAAGTTGTTTGTCAAGGCTGTCAAAAACCCAGAGATAAGAAGATTTCTCCAAACACGAACTAAGATGTCCACCAGTTGAGCTTAAGAGCTTCTTTGCCCTCTGCAAAGAACACTTTTCCAAACCTGGCTTTTATCCTCTTGAGGGAGGGGCCATTACCTTGCAGCCTTACTCCTGAGTCACCTATGCTGCTGTAATTGTTCTTTCCTCCGAGTAATCCTTCGTGCACGTGCACTTGGCACAGGCTCCTCGGGAACCTCCTCATCGCTGCTGCCAGCCCCCAGCATCTCTGAAGGCAGCAGTCCACTCCCTGGTGGTCCTGGCCCCTCATCAGAGTCATCGCTCTCCTCAGCCATCTGCACCTGCTGCTGGCTAACCACAACAATAGGTGTGCATGTATGGCTTAGTACCTAGTATTTTCTAAATTATTTATTTTTCTCGTCCTATATCTCATTTATAGGATGAGATATAGGCTCAATTGGCAAAAAAAAAAGCTCAAGACTGTATTGGTTGGAAATATGCAGAAGAGGCCTTCACCTTGCAATGGATAGACAATGGCGAGGAGGAGGAGGAGGAGGAGGAGGAGGAGGAGGAGGAGGAGGAGG